ATTAAATTTATTAAGAACAGCAATCATATGTATTGAAAAACATAGTAAAGCATTAAAATTCCCTGAGTAGAAATATGGTCTCAATCTTGAGCTATATATATATACACACACACATGCAACCCAGTTTTTATGTCGCCTTATAATAAAATAAATTTAAATTGGGATTACTTAAGTTGGGAGAGCCGTTTCAAAAATATACAAACCTCTTCTTCATTTCAAAAGAATAGATTTCTTTTAGAACTAAGTAACTTACTCGCTTTGATATTGAATGCCTGTCGATTAAGCAAGAGTACATTTAAAACGTTGTGGAGTGAGTAGTCTTAAAAATGCAGCATCTGTAACTGCGTTTTGAGTAGATTTAGAATGGAAGGCACATACCAGATTTTTTAGGAATAGAAATAAAGTGGACGAGGATCAAATGCAAGTGTATTGAAATAATTTTCAGGATTTTCTGGTTCATGTGCAGATACTGGGCTCTGTAGCTCTCGGCTTTAATTTGTGCCTGGCGCTGACCTGGTGCTGTGCGCTGACACTCACTGCATCCCTTCATTCGGGCCTCTAATTAGCCCCACTTCCCGGGGAGCTTGCTAAGAACTGAGCATGAGTGCTTGTTATTAAAATATTAGGCTCCCCTGGCTCCGTGGAACAGGGTAGGTTTTGATATAAGATTTAGGTACCTAGCAACACTAAATAGGAAACGGAGGTTTTGACTGTGATTTTATTTAATCAAATTGGTAGGAATAATTTCCTTAGGTAGTGGAATAGGCTGTACATGAAATCATGGTTAATACAGTCCCTATACTTAATTGTTACATTGGAGTTTTTAGTGTGCATTCTGGAGAAACCTGACCATAGAAATGTTATATAAAACACTCAGTTGTGCAGTTTCGTGGGGATTTGCGGGTGATGGTAGCTCTTTTGCTTGAGCATCTGTTAACGCAGAGATTTGTCTCTTAGGTTCACGTGAAAATGGCGGACGAGGCTGTCTGTGTTGGCCCAGCTCCCACCAGTAAAAGCTACCTCAACATGGATGCCATCATGGAAGCCATTAAGCAAACCAGAGCCCAAGCTGTGAGTCTGAATGAACCTGTCTACTGCAGCTGCTTCATATGTAGCGAGTGGAAAGCCAGAGTTTGTATTTAAAAAAAAAAAAAATAAGAAAGAATGATTGAAAATGCTGTTGCAGTTAGTTCATGGCACATGAGTTAAATGTGGCCGAATTCGCTACTGGAAATCAAAGGCTTTGCAGCATCTGGCAATGCTGGTCTGATCCTGCAGGTGGCTGTTGGATTCAGCTTTCACACCAGGGAGCAGTTTCAGTTCATTTCCAAATTTGCAGGGGAAAAAAAAAAGAAATCCCAATTAGTTTTGAGTATTAACCCTTTCGGTGTAATAAGAGCATTAGAAGAAATCTGTGCTATACACACAATCCCTTGGGAAGTCCCTGACTCACATTCTGTTTTAATCATTTAAAATGCATATACATCTATTTACATAACAAAACTATTATCTTCGTGATGCAGTCGGTAATTATTTCAGTGTCATAATGTCAGGAGAAGTTCCATGTAGAGAGAGTGATTCTCCCCACCCCCATTTCCGTTTGAGTGGAGTAGAATCCCAGGAAAACATAGTTTCTGCCATCAGGAATTGTGTTGTTGTGGTTTATACACACACACACACATATATATACATACATACATATATATATATATATATATATATCTCAGAGAACTAATTACATCTAATGTTAAAAACTATGCAGAGTTATCTCTAAAATTGGATGGAGGCAGCCAGCACCTGCAATTAGCCTGGAGAGCTTCAATTAGCGCTCACAGTCCTTTTGAAAGAAATGTTTTAGTAAGATGCACGTTTAAATAAAAAAGTGAATTCATGAACCCATATTATAGATGTTTACAGTTTATTAGAAGAGTTAATGAAGGTACAGCGCTGTTAACCTTTTCACTGTAGCTTGTCAGACGCGGCTCTTCAGCCGAATGTTTACGTAAAATGGAATTGGTGGATGAAACTCTTCCTGTGGTGAGGGGTGAGTTATGCTGCACCTGCTCAGGAAGCGCCGCTCAGTCTTGAGAAATCCTGGGTGTGGACTGCGCTGCGGGGGTGTGACGTCGCAGCCCACAGAAGTTGGGCTTCCTCATAGCAGACTGACGGCTTATTAAAAAGCTCCTCAGTGCTGACTGAACAGAGTGACTAATGCTACGTTTAGTGTGGTTGAGTCAAGAAATTGCTGGACAGGAACAGGATGGTAGGATTTAGAAGCAGAGACCTGTGGAGAGCAGAGCACCAGCTTGTTTGTGAATGGCTGGGTTTGGGGAGGAGGACCTGAAGGTAGATACTGGAAGGAAGAAGTACTGATAATCAGAATACAAAGAAAAAATAAAGCTGAGCCTCCAGCGTAACCAGACTTGGCAGAAGCTGCTCATTGAGCAGTGGCTGGGCAGCGTGTCCGTCTGCTTAGGAACGAAATGTTAGTGGCCCCAGGGGTGGCATTTGGGAAGGCTGCAGTGCCTTGAATGGTGAAGAAAAGGAATTTTAGAGTTTTTCGTCCCTCTCGGCAAAGGTTTCCTTTAACAAGGTCTTTGGACTCCCCCAACTGTTGTGACATTCTCCAAACTGCGGCCAGAGTTAGCCTCAGAAAACTTAGCCGTTGGAGCTGTGCTGAATAGCCTTGGTGGGGCTGGGGCCGGAGGGCGGGGGAGAGGAAGAGCCGAGGACCGTTGGACGAGGTGGTGGAGGGCAGGCAGGCAGCGCCGTGGAATCTGAGTCTGTGCACAGGAACGCCAGAGCCGAGCCACACGTCACAGACGTGACCGTCCTCGGGTCCTCGAACAACATGCTAACCCACTTTATGTCTTGCTTTTCAAGGTTTTGAGACATGATAGAACTGAAGGTGCTTTTTGTTTTCATTTTTAAGGTACATCCAGGTTACGGATTCCTTTCCGAAAACAAGGAATTTGCCAAATGTTTGGTAAGTCTGTAATGGGCCAGGGACTGTTAACTTCCCATTCAGAAAACCACATACTGGTGTGACTTTTGTACATGTGGATAGTGTTGAATTTTAAGATTGTAATTGGCCCAGTAATTTTTTGAAAATAATTTGTGGACAGTGAAGAGCTTTTATTCTATAAGTTTTGAATAGAATTGGGAGAGTTATAGAATCACCATTGTATCAAATGAATGATTAACTCATTCATTAAATATTTCACTGGGAGCATAGAATTTAAAGCCAGAGTAAGGTTCTATCCCCACCTCCTCCCTCTCCCACCCCCCGACTGCATATTGTGGCATTCAAGATCAAATCTTACCTTGTGTTTTAGGGGAAGGTTTTAAAAAATCATCTGAGTATCCTCTTGATTTCCCAACACTGGTTATTAGGTAAATTAACCTGTTTTTTATTCAACTGCTTTTCAGGTGTATTTACAACTACATTCTAGAGAGTAATTTTAGGTACTAATATATGATCAGAATAAAAAAAAAGTTATTTATGCATTCAGAACTGGGGTACAGGCCATAGGTGAGGGGGTGAGAGGATTCACCAGAGGCGGAGTAGGGAGCAGAACAGGCAGATCAACTGGAACCCACTGCTGAGGGGAGCAGGGGTGAGACAGGAGGGGTCTGCTGTGCCCCGGGGGGTCACTCCCTGGCTGGGGATGGAACTTGTGCCACAGTGGCTGTGGAGAGCTTCAGAGTGCTGCGCTTTAACCCCTTGTGCTACCAGGGAGGGCCCTACAATGTTTTGAATCGAGGTGAAGTTTTACCGATGTGGTGCTCCAACGCCATCAGACTCGGAGGCACAGGTTCCCGCTGAGATGTGTGTTAGGCCTCACCTGCCACCAGGCACCCACAGTCCTCTCTGCTTTGCTCCTCACCTCACTCTCCCCTCTCTATGATTTTGAATGGTTTGTGAATTTTTTGTGTATTAGGTCAGTTATCCCAAGTACTAAGTTGTTACCATAATTGATTATACTCTGCAGCATACTTGTATTTCCTTCTTTCATGAATGCGAAATCATTTTGTAGATGAAATATCCACTTAACATTCAAAAATAGAGTGTGGACTAATTCTTAAGGTCCTAGAATTACAGCTTAGAACAATGTGTAAGAGCTAGAGATTAAGATCTAGAGAGGCCGCGACTTCAGACCCTCCCAATGGCTGACTGGGCCTGCCGATGGCTGTGGTGGGGTGGATGGAGGGCACCTTATGGGTGCAGCTCACTAGCTAGTGTGCAGTATATCCACAGCTTCTTGCTTACATTTCTTTTTATTAGTGCCTGTCTTGACAGAGGTTTTGCCATTCTGTTAGAAAACTATGTGACTGTATACTTACACTTAGAGGTACTTTGTTTTTTCTTTTTTTCTTTTTTTAAAGATTTATGCACACTGATTTATTTATTTATGCATACAGAACTGGGGTGCAGGCCAGAGGTGCAGGGGCGGTGAGAGGATTCACCAGAGACAGAGTGGGGAGCAGAACAGGCAGATCCACAAAGTACACTGCCGAGGGGAGTGGCGGGGAGACAGGAGTGGTCTGCTGTGCCCTGTGGATCACCCCTAGGGTGAGGATCAAACTTTCACTGAAGCAGCTGCAGCCAGCTTGCAGTGCTGCGCTTCAACCCCTGAGCCACCAGAGAGGGCCTAGCAGTACTTTTTTTTTTTTTATTACAAAGTACTTTTTTTTTTTTTATTACAAAGTTAATTTTACATCATTTTGCACATTTTTTTTCCATCTCGATTGTAATCCCCGCGGGTTTCCCATCACCAAATCACCCCTGTGCCACCACCCTAGTCCCGTGCATTTCCCTCCCTTCCCCCCCCCCCCATTTTTGATCCCATTCCCCACTCCGCCCCCACAGAATGTCTCTGGTATATGGTTGTTCATTATTTTTGTTATTTTCTCGCCTGGTCCATTATACTCCTGCTATGAGTGACACCATCCGGTATTTTTCTTTCTCTTTCTGGCTTATCTCACTAAGCATGATCTTTTCCAGCTCCATCCAAGTTGCTGCAAAAGACATGTGTTTCTCTTTTTGGTTGCTGAGTAATATTCCATTGTATATATGTACCACATCTTTCTAATCCAGTCATCTACTTTTGGGCATTTGAGCTGCTTCCATGTTTTTCCAATTGTAAATAAAGCAGCAATAAACATGGGTGTACAGGTATCTTTTCAATCAATGTTTTTGTGTCTTTTGGATAAATACCTAGGAGTGGGATTGCTGGGTCATAGGGAAGCTCCATGTTTAGCAGCTTGAGGAACCTCCAGACAGTTTTCCATAGTGGTTGTACTAGTTTGCATTCCCACCAGCAGTGCAGGAGAGTTCCTTTTTCTCCACATCCTCGCCAACAATTGTTGTTGCCCAGCGGTACTTTTTAAATACAGTGTTTTACATCTGTGTTGTGTGGATGAGTCTCTAAACTGTGTAGGCTCCTTGGGCCCAGTATAGCCTGCCCCCCGATTTCGTAAATAGGGGTCACCAGAACGGGGTGGCTCCTTTGCGTGCTGCCTGTGGCTGCTTCTGCTTTGTGACGGCAGCACTGTGACAGGGGCAGGTGGCTGTCGGACCAACACACTCGCTTCCTGGCCTCATAGAAAAAACTTGCCATCTTGTGGATTGATGAGTCCCAAAGTCCCAGAAAATTCAATGACATGCCATATATTCACACATGCATTTATGCATTTATTGTGGACATGCTTATTTGGTGCCTGTGTTCGAGGCTTTTGAGGCTATAAAGATGGATCAGAGGTCAGCGGTGCCCCTGAGGGGCGCATGGCTGTGTGTGTGAGCAGCAAGTAACGTACACAGATGACCTCAGTACAGGGGAGAGAGTATTGTGAAGAAGTTCAGCTTCTAAGGAAATGAAGGTACATGATAAGCTGAAGATTAAAACAAGGTGATTTCCTTCTGCAGTTTTGTATTAGGGAGAAGTGTGACTTTTCTTTCTAACCTTGGCTCCACTTGTCCTGATCAGCACTCTGCCTCCTAACCAGACAGCCTGCTAATTCTTTTTTTTTTTTAATTAAAAAAAAGTTGTTTTTTTTTTTTTAATTTATTTATTTGTGCATGCAGAGGTGGGGTACAGGCCAGAGGCTCAGGGGTGGTGAGAGGCCTCACCAGAGACAGAGTGGGGAGCAGAACAGTCAGATTGACAAAGTACACTGCTGAGGGGAGCAGCGGGCGGGTCAGGAGAGGTCTGCTGTGCCCTGTGGGTCACCTCCAGGCTGGCATTGAACTCATGCTAAGGTGGCCCCCGCTTCCCAGTGTTGCGCTCTAACCCACTGCGCCACCAAGGAGGGTCCACATGCTAATTCTTAACACAACTGATCTTTGGTGTTTTAGGCTTTTATTTACTTTTCATATTATGTCAAAGTTATTTCTGTATTTTAATCTCTTGCGATAAGAGACTTGGTCTTGGGCCCTCCCTGGTGGTGCAAGGGGTTAAAGTGCAGCACTACAAAGCTGTCCCTGTCCACAGCACGTCACCCACGTGGCGCGGCACATGACCCATGTTTTGCGACAGACCTCTCCTGACCCGCCTGCTGCTCCCCTTCACGGGGTATTTCATTCAGCCTGCCTCTTCTGCTCCGCACTCTGTCTCTGGTGAAGTCTCTCACCGTCTGCACCTCTGGCCTGTACCCCAGGTCTGTGTGCATAAATAAATAAATCTTAAAACAAAAAGAGACTTGGTCTTGCCAGTCTTTGTTTCCCTCTTGTTTTCTAGCTTAAGGATCTCTATGTAGTGAACTCAGTGTTCTGGAAGGGTTAAGTGAGTATTATTGATTAATAATTATAAATTATTAACTTGCATGAGTACTTCCCTATAACAAAAAATACCTGTTCTGTGACTAGAAAGCAATATTGCAGTGATTTTGGTTGCTTTGGAAATATGCACGTGATAAGTAACCAGATTCTTTTCTCTTTTTTTGCATAAGTGCAGGATTATTATTTGGAATATAATTAATTCCCCCCACCCTCCAATATTAAACTCTTCCCTATCTAGCTAGAGTGGGCATGTTCCTTAAAAGCAACACAGTGAAATCAAGTTGCTCACAGACTTTGTTTCGCCATCTAAACGTTGTTAGTGTGACCAGTGACCAGCCATGGACTCTCCATTATCTCCAACTGGGTCTATTTTGAGAAATCTGATACTTCCTCTGCCTTGTGACAGATTACCATGTTGGTGGCAACTTCTGGCAAGAAAGGCTAGGAGAAATTTTAAAACTTTTTTACAGTTCAGTGCTGTAAATGCCTTTATTGTAACACTGCACCTTTTGTTTGACATTTAACTAAATATGGAGTTTTTTCATTGATTTCTGGCCCTGTAGGTTTTTGGCAGTTCAAAGATCAGCATATTTTTTGTTTGTAAACTCTTTGTACTTTATCACCCGAGATATTGTTTTGGCTTAGTTATGAATAGAGTACTTTCTTGATTTTTTTTCCCTAAATACGTACTATGTATTTGCCTTAGAAAGATACACAGTAACCAATGCAGAAGCATACTCAGTTTTATAGGTCTTTATAAGACTGGTTGTTCTTAATTCACACAAAATAGGATCAAATTTCAATGAAATCTTATCTTGATATTTGTTGTTTTAAGTAATTCATGGATAAATTAAAGTTACAAAAAACTCAAAGAAAAGCAATTTTCAAAAATTTTAACATGCTGAAGAAGCATTTTATTTCCAAGCTGAATTCTAGTCTCTATTAACCCCAAAGGGGACCTTATGTTCTGATCAGCAAAGGGACAGCCGTGGAATCTATGAGGACTGTTAGGATTAAGAAAAGAAGTTTACAGAAGACCTTTGAAGAGTAAAGCTACTTGCTGCTGGGCAGTGGACATAGTGTTGCGGGTTATCTTTCTGATCATACGGATTCATATCATGGGTAATGCAGCACTGCACGTTACAGTAGTTAGTAATTCATGAGACCTACATGCTACATGTAACAGTCTGTGTTTGAGTTTGGCCGCA